ACTACGTTACCATTTGGGCATGAAAGAGAAAATGTAAAGAACTTGGGCAGGAAGGAGGACAGGTAGGTGCCAGTGCGTAATTGGGTAAAATTTGTGTTATTTATGGGTGTGAGATATTGTGATAGGTGTAGTAAATTTGAAGGAGGAAAGAAGTTTTAGCTAAATAATGTAAATGAAAAGCAATGCTCTTCGGGAACCATTTCCGGACTGCAGTTCAACATCTGGCTGCTGGAACTCTGCACGACCGTGACATGAGAGGCCTCGCTGGGGACCCCCAGATGAATGAATCCTGACTGGCCATCGGCTGAAATTTGTCTGGATATTGGGAGTGGTGCGCGTAAGAGATTTGCTTGGTATGTGTGTTCTCTATGTGTTGCTAATAAATAGATGTTTAGAGCACAATTGTGTAAAGCAAAAGGTTTTCTGGGAAAAGGTTCTGCAGACCCCTAGAGCCCTGAGCCCCGAGGGAAAGGGCGGGTACTTAAATTGACCTGGTTTCTTCCTGAGCCCCGTGGGTAAAAATAGGTGGCTTACACCTTGAGCTCTCGGTAGGGAAAGAGTGGGGGTGCCTAAATTGATTGGGTCACACCTTAAGCCCTCGGTAGGGTACAGGCAGGGTGTCCTAAATTGACCAGATCACGCTTGTTGCCTCAGAAGGGTATGGGTGGGGTGCAGACTGTAACAGACTGGTGGAGAATGCGGACAACCTAGGTTATTTGGGCCGAGCGGATTGAACCTTATACAGCAGTTGGACAGAATATTTGTGCCCCTTCTCTCAAGAAGGACTGCAGCCTGCTTGAGAGAATGAACACTCTAAGGAATAAGGAGAGTGAGAATCCTACGTTGAAAAGCCAGGAAGGGTGGAATTGGCAGAGGAACCAACCCTCCTTGCAAAGCGGATAGTGGACCGAGGTCCATGCCCATGGGAAGATGACCTTTTTCAAGGGAAAAATGCATTGGAACATGCATGTAAAGGGTTTGAAGCGTATTGCAGTAATATGAAGTCTAACTTAAATAAAAGGGCTGTGAAAACTGCGGCTGGGTGGGTGCACTGTGGACAGTGTCTTGCAATCTCTCAGTGTTAGTAACATCTCAGGAGAACCAGTTAGGAGACTGTGAGTTGGAATTGGGTAGAGGATCCCTTGAATCAGTATAAAGCCTCACAATGTGCCTCTGCAGCGTCCTCCTCTGCAAAGTGCTGCTGCATTAAAGGAAAAGGGAGGGGAGTCTGGTGGACAGTGTTATCAACAGTCGCTGTCTATGCTGTATTCTGATAGTTCAGAGCTCAAAAGAGCATCCTAGCATGTAAATGAATTGTAAACAGGTGATATCTCAGTATTCATCTCTCTTTGAAATGTACTGTGAACGGTGGAGGAAGATGTAAATGGCCTTATATTAATTAGTATAGCTAAGTACCGGTGATGGACCTCCTTCAAAGTCATCCTAATGACCTTTTGTTCCCTGAGGAACTCCAACTTGTCAAAAGACATGAAATTGGATAAAAGATCCTTGGGTCCTGATTCTGTCATCTCAGACCTGCTTAGACTTCTTCAGGGGAAGTTTGAGTCGCAAGACTGAGGCCCCAGTTATATCTCCTGAATATGAGATTTGGACATTAGACTCTGTGTCCGATCCTTTGGGGTTGGTAGAACCTTTTCTTTTATATGATGAAATAAGATTTACAGAAATTTTCATCA